GCACATGCTTCATATCTGGCTAATGTTAATCTGTGATCACTGTCTTCTTTGAAGAAACCTGGATGGCCATTCAGTTATAGTTCTTTATGTTATGGATGCAGAGGGGAATCGGATGAAAAAGCATTGCATTGTGTGTGTGTGTATGTGTGAGAGAGCGAGAGCGAGCGAGCACATAAATAGATTAAATGAAACAGGTTCCAAAGAATCCTATTCAACACCTATAATGTCTGGTCTAGACAATTTGCTTTTACAGTAATGTATGTTGCTAAAATGCATGTTGTGACTGATGTTTGTGCGTGCCCATGCAAAGAAAACATTAGATCTTCCTTTTAAAAACCTGAGGAGGAAGAGGCCCAGGATCTATGGAAGTAGGACAAACAGTGCAGAACGAGAGAGCCGTTTTGTCACTCAGCTGAGTGAGCTCCTTGTTTTAGTAAGCAGCTGAATAGTAAGCTGCAAGGAGACAAGGATGTTCCGTCCGTCTGCTACCTTTACCCTAAACATTTCACTCTCAACCTTTTCCTCTGATTTTGTGCTCAGCCTAAGCATGAGGGGAGAATAAAATGGCTCAGGAAGGCATTTACTGGAGCAAATCAGCAAATGGGGACGGGTTGATTTGTTTATTTATTTAATGTCTATACCACCCATCTGGCAACCCAGGCCATTCTGGGCGGTTTATACAATACAATAAAACAAAATATAAAGACAAAACAATACAATAACAGGACAATAATATAAATAGTCAGCACAATATAAACAAATGAAAATAATATCAGGAAGACATTAAAATAAAATAATAAGTATCTTCCCCTCCTTTCTTTACAAACAACCCTTTATTCAGTAGGGGTTCAAATTTGATGACCCTTGGGGTCCCGTCCAGCTCTAAAATTCGATGCCTCCTGCATAGTGTTTAAATGTATTCCCAAGTTTATTTTATTAATAAAACCTTTAAAGTGAAATGTATTTTTTAAAATCATTCTAGCATGTAGCATGCACTGCCTTGTCCATGAAATGAAATGATACTATTGCAAGGAGAACATATATGAATAAAGATCTTGCATCTATCCACGGCAACCAAAATGTTACTGTATGTGTTATGTCATAACTAAAATGAGTGAATGCAGCTAGTCCTTGGGTATCCAGTGCGATGTACTGTAATGGATCAAGTGAGGGACTAGGACTCTGGAGACCAGGGTACAAATCCCTTGCTTAGCTATGGAAACTCACTGGGGGAATAGAAGTACAGTACTGTAATAAAATGGTTGTTGTGGGTTTTCCGGGCTCTAAAGTAAAACTTTAAATATCTTACTTACCTTGAAAGTCCTATTGTGGTTGGTTTCAACTTGATGGCACATAACAGCAGCAATTAGTCCTCTATGATTAAACGGTTGGTAACATGAAATGCTATTTTAATCAATGTTCACAGCTGAGAGAAAATGGCTTCATAGCAAAATCTTGCCTTGTGTATCAGCTTGGCCTTTAATCAGCATTGTGATGAATGCTTGGCCACATGGAGGAAGTATAGTTTATGTGGGTAGATTGGAGAGAATAAAGGAAGAAGCAGTGTACAGTAAGTATGTTGATTACTAACCTGAAAGTAAATACTGTAACAATGGAGTAGGCTCCATTATAGAAATGAGGGTAGTGGTATCAAGTGAGACATGTGATAAGTCTTTTTTTGGGCTGTAACAGTTGAGATTACAGGTGGGAGGATCAAATGGTTGAATGGTCCTACTACCCAGTAACAGCTGCTACAACCCTAAATCTTTCTGCCAGATAAGCAGATGTTAGGCTACATCCAGACTTGTAGCCTTGCTTTCTGCAGCCCACTGTCCCACTGCTAGTCCCAACTGAGGGTGTGGGTGTTATGCACCATTCAATTACATATAATAAGGTGTCTGATATGTTAAAAGAGTGGTTTGCTGTCACCAATCCAGCCCCACTCCTGTGGTACCTTTCCATGGCTGAGTGGGGCTGCTTTAGAGTGTCAGTATCAAGAATATTACTTTGAAACATTTACCCTGCGGCTCTAATAGTGTACAGTATTTGGAAGAAAATTCCTTTGGAGGAGGTGCTCTGATTTGTTTTCATTTTGCTTTGTCAAAAGCTATACACAAAAAATGATTCTGTAGCCTTAATCTGTATTTTGTAAGGATTTGGACAGTGCTGATTACTTTGTTTTTGCCTGTGGTTTAGAAGGTATTCTGAAAAAATTAAAATGGTAGAATTGTCATCGAGGTCTGATAAAAAAATATATTTTGATCTGAATAGTATTGTGTAGAAAACCATTAGCTAGCAAACTGTTGACCTTAACTTTAAAATTGGTGCAGGCAAATAATAGTGTTGACTAAACATGGCATAGTGTTAATCATGAATTTTCCTTGATTCACCCTCTCTCTCTCTCTCCTTCTCCTGCCTCCTCTCCTCCCCCTTAGGATTTAATCACAATTAAGTGACAGATGCTGAACACATTTTGTTCTAGTCTAATTGACTGCAAAGTCATGGTCAATATTGCATTGGCTAACTCAACTCCTCACAGCCATGTCCAAATATAATGAAATTGTGTTAGATGTCTTGCTGAAGCACTAGGTAGAGGTGCAGATTTCTAGCTTCCCTAAATTACTAAGTTTACATATGTAGCATTTTGATTGTATAAATACACTTTTCACGTCATACTTTAATTTTTAAGTAGAACTCTGAGGTGAACTGTTTTTGCAGTTTTTTTTTGATGCATCTTAAAATTTGTACACCAGTAAAAAGATATGGAGTGTCATCTGAAGGTTTATTAGACAATATCAATATAAAAGGTTATAACATTGCACAAATAAAGTTATAATATTCAGAAAGTGTATCAAAAGTGGTTGTCCTCAGTATAAACTGTAAAGTAAACCTTTTGAAGTTTTACAAAGTATTTTATATTAGTCTTCAGCAAAATATCAGATATAGGTATCTCACCAAATCGTGTATCACTCTTCCATTTGAAGAAGTGGATTTGATCCATAAAAGCTCACATTAAAATACAACAGTTAGTCCTTAAGGTGTTTTTTTGTCTTTTTCTTTTTCTTTTGTTTTTACCTAATATGCCATATCATTATTTCCCTGAAAATAAGACAGGATCTTATATTAATTTTTTGCTCCGAAAACGCAGTAGAGCTTATTTTCAGGGGATGTTCTATTTTTTCATGTACAACAATCTACATTTATTCAGATACAGTTGTGCCATCTTCTGATTGGTGCACAATGGTAGAGGGTAGGGTTTCAGTTAACTGGGGCTTAATTTTGGGGTTGGGCTTATATTACAAGCATCCTGAAAAATCATACTAGGGCTTATTTTCAGGTTAGGTCTTATTTTCAGGGAAACAGGGTATATCTCTAGGATAATATTCCTTGCACACGATCTGCTGCAAGTTTAGGTAAAACATAGTGTCACTATGTTCAGTCTTAAGTGTTCAGTATTATACCCTGGCATTTTGGTAAATATCTGTATTTTGCCCACGGAAACTCAAATGTTTGTGTGGATCTTTTAAGTTCTTAATCTTGTATCTGATTTTTTTTTCATTGTTGTACAAACGCTGTGATACATTTTCCCTGTGATGAGCTCAAGAAGGGAAAATGCCTTAAACATCGTGCTTCAAAAGCATTTAAGTGTAGAAAAAGGTATGAAATTCAGATGTAGATAGGGGCGTTTTACCCCTCTGTTTCAGAGTGTCTGTCTTATTCTTACTGACGGTGGCTTGTACGCCATATGCACGCAGACATTCCCTTACATACCACACTCCACCCTATTATTCCCTTCTGGCCTGAAATGTTTTATGCTGAGTTAGGCTTGTGCTATAAATCTGCAATGAAAACAGTGCTTTGTACTGGATGGTTTGACAGACTGATTACAGTGGTGCTTTAATTGTCTATTTTTGGCTTCTTACAATTCTAGGACCTCTTCCAGATTTGACCCCACTATAGAAGGTTTGCACAGACATAGTTTTAGGGAGAATGATCTTTAGGGATGTCTTGTTTGATCCATGTGTTATCCCACTTACTGACTTTAATTTGAAATAAAATACCTCTCGTAAACCAAATCTGCGTGCTTCATTTTCTTGACAAGAATTTCACTTTATCCTACAGTACTTAGCAGTTATAGGTTGTCCAGGGTAATTGTTGTTGAAATCTAAACTATTATGGTGGTTATGTATTGTATTGGACATACATTGCCTGTGACATGTTTGACATTAAACTATTGTTTTTGCCAATGCTGTATGCAATATAATGATACTTTCTGTTGCTTCCACTGGGCAATAGGATGTTTTTCTCCAGGAGAAGTGGCAGGGATTAACTGTAATATCCTTTATACTGTGTTCTCTTAGAAACAGAATTTGTACTTTTTAAATTGCAATTAACAGACAAGCTTAAGCTTGTGGACCAAAAACAATACGATACTGAGCAGAGATTGGGGCCGTGCAATTGTTTATACTTGTCCTACATTTTGTTTCTCATGAAATGGAAGCCGATATTTCTTTAGAAGTCTTCTTAAGGCAAGCATTTAAAAACAATGGAATGGAAAAGTTCTGCAGGAAATTAATAGATATGCAATTTTAATATTAGGGCCACAGCATTAGCTAACTTAGAGGAATGAATAATAAACTGAGTGGAAGCGAATATTCTTGAAGATTTGCAGATACATTAATTTTAATTTGTCTGTTTGATCTCTTAATTGCCTCTAAAGATTTCTTGACTAATTTTAAGGAAGCAGTGTTTGAACATATCTGGCAAATACTGTCTCCTTGTAGTGAGCACATAGCATTGAAAGAAGTTAAGAGGAGAGAATAAAATTAGATTGACTGATTGTTCAGTCATGTGGGCCAGGCCTGCTGCCTAGCCCGGCTGTTAAGAATGATTGCTCAAATTACATCGCCTTAGGTCCCTGCATTTGGTTGGCTGTCTTCGCAGATCTTAACAAGGTTCTGGAAATTCATTTGTGACAAAGTTTGCTTTGTGTTTCACAGGATGCTTCATCAGCAGACATTAGGAAAGCATATCGCAAGCTTTCGTTAATATTACACCCAGACAAGAATAAAGATGAAAATGCAGAAACACAGTTTAGACAAGTAAGTGACAATGTTATATATGATCATTAATGTTTTTACAGTGTGTTTATATATTATGTGATCATTACAATGATTGAATATATTTTGATTTTAATTGTGGAGAAATATTCAGAAACAATTCATTGGATTTTTAAAATTTTCATCTGACATTTTTGAATAGATTTCAGCTCAAAGATTCAAATGAGTAAAAGTGGACCCTCTGATGGTAGAAGCTAACAGTTCACACAGCAGAATGCTTAGCTTTGGGAATTAGACAATATGGACACTTGTTTTGGTTCTTCTTTGTCATAATAGTAATATAATGCTGCTTGCTTTGTAATAGAAATAGACAGTAAATATTAGATATGCAAACATCTTGAGTAATGTGTATGGAATTAAGCTTACTGGGCTGTTGTTGTTTTTTAATATGATTGTCAGTAGAGACCTCATGAACATTTGCAAAATAAGAAGCGTATTTTAAAAAGTAGATCTTTTTTTTACTGTATCATAGAATAATATAATTTGTATTGCCCTAGACAGGCAGTATGAGAAAATAAGGAATGCCAGTCTTCAGGGTTTTACAAGAGAGATCTGGAAAAGTTACTGAAACGGTTGAGAGATTTTATTTTGTCACACAACTTTTGTGGTAATTCAGAGTGAAGTTGTTAGTATATTTGTTTGGGTTTTTTTGAAGTAAAAAAGACATTTATATACATTTGTTTTCTAGTTGGTGGCCATATATGAAGTTTTAAAAGATGAAGAGAGAAGGCAGAGGTGAGTTTATTGTCTTGCATAGATTTTAAAGGAGACTTTTCAGCTTCTGAACCAGGATATGCCAAATTTCTACTAAGGCAGAATCTTTGTCATATGACTCTTGTATTCTTTGCCAGGTGCATGAATGAGGATTTTAGATTTATGATATGTAGTTAAGGCAGCAGGAGATAACCTGGTCACTTCCAAAATAAATTTATGCTTCTAGACTACCAGTGCCTGTTTAGTCCACCTGTTGCTTTTTCTTAATTGTTAATATCCTCGGAATATTCCATCACAGAATGAGAACCATGGCCAGTCATAGTGATTAGTGGAGACTGGCTGTGAGCACATCATTAGGCTCGCATTCTTTCTGTTGAGAATTATAATATTTTGCAGTATTTTAGCAGAGTCCCTAGATTTGCTGCTCCTATTTATTAGAGTAGTGTGTTGCCATCTTACAATGCATACCTTATCATTAAGAACTCTGACATTTGTATTGTAAACATATACCAATTTTAGCAAAGCTTTCTTATTGTTCTTTTATACTTTACCATTTTAATGTCGGTTCATAATACCTGCAAGAAAAGAATTTCAGCAGGCAATTCTTGGTGCTCAGGTCACTTTTCAGAGGACTGTTGTGTTGTACTTTGGACTTTTGATTTATTAGGATGCTCACTTTAGCTGTTGGTAACCCAGATATTTTGATGGAAGAAAAGAAAGGCTTACTGCCAGCAATGGGGTTCTATTTGAAATATCTCTAGGTTTTCAATTTTCTGAGCAGGGATGCTGAACGTTCTCCAGGAGGTTCTTGGCTTTGTAGAAACCTTGGCATGAGTCCAGGTCTCATAGTAGAGATTATCTACTTTCAGATAATCCTCTGTGTTGAAAGAGCCATGGAACAGTGTTCAGAGGAGTTTGGGAGATTCTGTGTATGGTTTTTACTCTGCCTCCTACTGCAGTCTTTCAGCTTGGAGTCATAGATCAAGGAAGTTTAGGAAGTTAAACAATAGGGGGTCAATGTTTGGTGTCAAATGGTTGCAAAAGGTATGAACTAGTTTAAATGCTCTCTCTCTCTCTCTCACTCACTCTCACTAACACGCACACACAAAAACACTTTTTAAAAAAAATAGTACTTATTTTATATGCTCATGGCTTACACTGGGCTGCTATAAAATAAATTTTGCTTTTGTATCAGCGTTGCTCTTAAAGTTCCTTTGGATTCCCCCTCAGTACAGTTGTAGTACCAGGAAATTGCTCCTTTAGCAATCACTGATCACTGTCATCAAATATAATTATTTAGGAATTTAATGCAGTGTGCACATTGTAAACTGTTATTACCTTAGAAACCTATTTCATTGAATGAGTGCATTTCTGAGCTCCATGTGTGGGATGGGTTGCAGGAAACAAAAATTAGTTTTATGGTTGTTGACTTGTATGCTGCCTGCACTCTGCAAGGGTCTCTAAGTTTGACTTAGTTTTTGTATGCTCACAAATGGTTTAAAACAGTGCTTTTTCAAAAGCAGTTGTGCACATTGACCATCAGTGCTGCAACCAAAAGTGCCATATTCTGCATCAGAATTCCTATCATCATCATCATCATCATCATCATCATCATCATCATCATCATCATCATCATCATCATCAATTTCCTCTCGTTACCTGTTGTGAAGTATAGGTTGGAACTGCTAGACTTGATGCACATTATCATAGCTCAGATGTGATTTGTTGTGAGAGCTAAAGGTGTGTTTGAATTTCTTTTTTAGCTGCTCTTGCATCAAACCCTCTTCTTGCTCTTTTTGCAGTTTTTGCCTGCTTTTTGAAGTCAGGGGAGGCAAAACAGTGGTTTGGATTCTCTCATGTATCCTGCATCATTGGTCTGCTTCTCAGAGTTAATATCCGATACTTGCTATACAACATGGGGAAGTTAACAACTGATTAAACACTCAACATATATATTTGACTGTGTGCAGATTGGCCATGCAGGTTACTTTAAGTCAAGTTAGTTAACTTTAGTATTACAGATAAATTTGTTCTTTAGTATTACATATACATTTGTTGTAGTTTATTGCCAGTCTAATGTGTATGTGGCATTGTCAGTTTCTACAAGATTCTTTTCTTTCATTAGCAGAAACAAGACAAAAGCTGATCTGGCCAAATGTTTTCTTTAAAAATAGAATGACTAAAATAGTATCTTCTGAGTTTTAAACCTTTATCCTTTAAAAACGATTGTTCTAAATTCAGTTGTATATTTCTTGGTTTAAATGGCAGAAACAAGCAATGAGGCATCAAAATATACTACAGTATAGACTAAAGATGTGCTGTATGCCAGGGCAGATAAAAATCAATGGTATTTTAAATCAAATTGATTAGAATCATGATTCAGAATTTAAAAATCAATTTGATATAAATAATCAAAACTCCATTTTAAAAATTTAAATTGTGATTTGAATAAATTTAAATCAATTCGTGATTTGAATCAATTTGATTTAAATCAAACCCACTCTGGTATAAACCAATTTTTATGATGAAAAGTCTCTTTGCATTTTGGTAAGATACGGTCCCTGAAATACTTTGAAGTATATTTGGAGATAGGGCAGAGGGAAATTGATCATTATATCACCTTTGAATTTGGAGTCTGATGTTATGTACAATGCTACCCTGTTTCCCTGAAAATAAGAAAGGGTCATTAATTTTTGCTCCAAAAACGCACTAGGGCTTATTTTCAGGGGATGTCTTATTTTTTTTCATATACATCAATCTACATTGATTCAAATACAGTCTTGTTACCTTCTTCTGGTTGCTGCACAATGGTGGAGGCCGAGGTTTCACTCAGCTGGGGCTTATTTTGGGGGTAGGGCTTATATTTGAATTGTTTGCAATCACAATTTAAAGATCATCAGACTTATTTAAACTGCCAAGCATACTTCAGATACGGCCCATGTTATATGTGATATCCAGCTAGGTTACTGTTGAAATAAGCAGCCTAAAAATAAATAATGGCAGGCAGGGGAGCAGAATAAATTAAATTTCTTTGTTTCAATAATTTTACCTTTTCAGTTTACCTGAAAAGAGAGTTATGCTCTGCAAAAATGCATGATTTGGGACTAGTTCTTTGTGCACTTTCTGTTTTAAATATGACATTTGGTATTTGCCGATATAAACAAACTGCTGTGTTCTTTTTATTTGGTATTGTATTTAACTGCTGTAGTATGTGTATGAAGTACATAGAATCACTTCTGATTTGCCTGGATATTGAAGGGAGGCAAAATAAGGTTAGGGAAGATGCAAAGAAGACAGAAATACCAGGCTGCTTTGTGATTTACTTCTGTGGTTAATTCTATTGCATGCCTGTGAAGGTCTATCGTAGGTGATAGATTAGCTTCTGCAAATAAGTAGTTTAATGAATTGTCTGCATGCTTCCTAATTAACTGATTTTCTAAATGTGAAAAACAAGATTAAAAATTATCAAAGGATTCTGAGTAACTTAAGGACTATTGTTCACATGTAATCCTAAAAAATTAAGCAGACATCTTAATTTTTCAATACACTGCTTAATTACCACCAAAAGCAGTGATTTATCTTTTGACATTGTACATTCTAAAAAGTGGTTTATAATAGAAGCTATCTTCCCTTAAAATGGCCAGTCGTGTGAGCCATAATGTTCATTGATAGTAAAATCAATAGAGCATTGATTCTGGAACTAAATCCTTGGAGACTTTTGTTCAGAGTAGCATACGTAGCCTAGTAAATACAGAGTGCTGTTCAGTCTGGCTAGTACTGTACATGAAATTTTCTTGAGTCAGATTTGAGGCAGCTGAAATGGCTTTTAGCATATGTGAATTTTGACATAAACCATCAAGGACTGTGATATGTTTGAACAGTAGAACAAGTAGTCTCATTAGAATTTGTTGTTGTTGATTATGATGATGATGAGGAACAATTTTTAAAGCTTCGGGCATTACTAGATGGAAGACGGAAACAGAGGAGAGCAATCTTTTAGGATTCCGTTTCAGCCATTCTTAAGTTGCTAAATATAAACATGCTTCTCTTGATATTTTTTTCCGTTTTTTTAACATGCAGAATTATGGTTAAATTCTGAAAAACATTTTTAACTATACCAGTGCAGTCAGTTTCCGTCTCCCTTTTGCAGTTTGGGTCGAAACAACCTTTCAGTGGTAACAAAGATTTGTGTGCTGATGACTGGGTGTGTGCGAAAGAGAAATGACTCCTGGTTTATAGTAATGGTCGGGAGTAAAGGTTGGAAGCAAATGTATAATGCTGAATATTATTCCAGGTTTTACACTTACTTATAAGAACCAAATCGATGATAACATTATGTATTACTTACCCTGTAAGTATTTAGAAATAAAAATTAGCTGAATATTTTTGCCCAGCAATTAGCCATTTTTCTAGCATAAATAGCTGTTTAATCAAAGTTTTAAACTGCTGAATGAAATTATTTTATACAAATGTTAATTTTTTTTAAAAATGGCAAAAAATCAATTTTTCCTATTAATCTATCTCCAAGGTATCAATTTAATAACTATCAAAGTAGCTATTGCAGTTGTTGCATTTAAATTGATTTACATGTCAAGACTGGCAGTTTAGCAGCTGCGCTATTATTCTTGGATCGGTCAATTTACTTGAGAAAAACCTACTACTGAGTCCCACTGACCTGCATGACAATATAGACCCTATTTCTATTCCTGTAATTAGGCCTGCGACTAACTCAGAATATTTTTAATTAAAATATTTTGGTCAATGTATTGCACCAAATTAGGCTTTTCAGTGCAGATTTAATTCTGGAAATAGCGTGATTAGAATATTCAATGAGCTGTGCCCCATTTAACGTTAATTTGAACATACAGTGTTTTAAATGTCTCCATTTTAAGTGTTCTTAATGATAGACTTGTCAGTTCTGCTAAAAGTTATCCAGTTCTTTATGCAGGTAAGTAATACATTGTATGTGTGTTTGTGTGCATTTCAGAAATATAACACTTGGAGGGGGAGTAAATGTAGAAAGAACAGATTTCTAAAAACGGCTTTTAATATTACACGTAGAAGAAGTCAACAAGGCAGAAGATTTACCAATTAAACTGAGATCTTTTAGCAGGCTCACTTCTGTGGAAAATTCTGATCACTAATAAATTACAAGTGATTTCTAAATTAGTTTTCATATCAAAAGAACATTTATAGGAGCGACTAGCAAACACACAGACACACACACAATTAAGGAGGCATAGCAAATAAATAGATTTGGTGGTTGTTTCTTTCCCACTTAAAATCATCCTTTTGTAATTCTTTTATCCTGGGAATATGACCAGTGATTGACAGGTAGGCTGAACATATGGTTCATTGTAGAAGAGAAACACTTCTCAAGTGAATCAATTGGGGGAGCTGTAAGAACAGCAGAGTCACCATTTTTAATGCAGTCAGCAGAGAACAATTTCTCCAGCAGACTGGTTAGACTTCTGTTCCCAAAGCCCAGATTAAATGTTGACAAAACATATATTTGGGGGTATAAATCTAACTGTACTGATTTCTATGAAAAGCTGATGGGTAGAACACAATTTTTATTCCTGTGTCATTGAAAAAAAAGAGCTAAATAGATTTGTTAGAAATGATTTAGGAAGGCATGTTTTTTTTGTCACTGCAGGTATGATGATATTCTCATCAATGGGCTACCAGATTGGCGTCAGCCTGTATTTTATTACAGGCGAGTGAGGAAAATGAGCAATGCCGAGTTGGCATTGCTGTTGTTCATTATCCTCACTGTGGGTCATTATGCTGTGGTTTGGTCAATCTACCTTGAAAAACAACTGGTAAGCATTGGTTTTCATCTTTATTTAAAACCAAGCGAAATGTTCAAGGTTTTTTTAATGTGTTACTGTTAATCAGTCTGTCACTCCTGACCCTCTCACCCACACACATGCATATGATTTACTCTTAAATTTTTAGTAATTGTGTTTTGGCCAAAATTGTACCCCCAAAATGCTTTCCTTTTATCCAACAATTGAACATCTTTCTACTTCAAATGGTACATAATTTGCTGCCTTTAAAATTATTTGCTACATTTTAAAACTTGAAGTATTTTTGCCTTTTGTAATTGGCAATTGTCAGAGAGCTGATCTTACAAGCCAATAAAATATTTTCTTAAAACTAGCTGTTGGCTGAATTAAGCTTTCCTTGGAAATTGCACAAATTTGAGTTTTGGGGGGTTTTTTTGTTTGTTTTTTTCTTTACCTTTCCTACTTGGTCTTTGAAATGCATAGCATACTCTCTCTTTCATCTAATGTCTTAATGGAAGTTCTGTTTCCACCCCAAAATTGAAATGTCTTTCAGACATGAAAAATGTCCCAAGGTTCCAATGGTAAAATGACAGAGGCAAATAAATGATTTTAAATGTTGGCTGCTTCTTACCTGCTAGAAAGCAAAAATACATTCTTATGTATAGGTTAAGAAATTTATAATTAGAATATTACTGGTGCATCAGTATCTGTTTGGATTTTTTAAAAGTATTTCCAAAGCTAACATATTAAAGTTAAACATGATAAAAGTTGAAAGCTAAAAATGTGGGAAAGAGAACTTTAATTGGTGTGGATATACACATGACTGACAGAGTTGAACTTCATGTGTGCACAACGAGTGGGTGCCATGGCAACTGTTATTGTTAGATTATTTTACTTAATCATGTAGCCTGCCCCATACATTTGCATAAATGTGCTGTTTTTTCTTAATTGAAGACTTTACTTCATATACGTTGCAGCCGACTTGTACATGATAACCTCTAGCAATTTTTTATTAACAATTCTTCCTCCTTTTTTAAGGATGAATTGCTTAGCCGGAAGAAGAGGGAAAAGAAGAAAAAAGCAGGAGGGAAGAATGTAGAAGAAACAAAACTTGGTATTGACAAGAGTGAAAGGTGGGTACATAAGAAATTAGACTTTGGACAAAGTGCTGAAATATCTTTTGACGTTGCAAGCTCGTCAAGCAGTTTTTGTGAATGTTTTTATATTCCTCATAAAGATTCTTCATGGGGTTTTTCAAAACTCTACTGAACAGGTTAATTATATAATTATATCTAATAATTATGTACAGGAGTATTTGTGATATTAAATGGGTGTGCACTTTTCAGGGAGAAGTAGCATCAGGCATATAAAATCATAGCTTTGGTTTGTTTTGTTCTTTCATTTTCGAGGTCGAATTGTTTCTTCACCACAGAGTTGTTTTGAGTCTTTTGTATGATTTTCCTGCTTTTACTTTAGCATGGGTTTTAATCCCGTTTCATTTGGGTTAGAAGAAAATTCTCGCCCCTTTGGTTTCCCCCTGCTTTCTCTCCTTTTAAGGCCACGAAACATCAGGTGGGGGGCAGGAATACTGACATTCAGAATACTCCAAAAGATACCACCATTTCTTCTATTGATTCATAGAAAGAAATAAAAGGTTTAAATAGTTCACACAGCAGGGGCATGAACTGGATCAATGCAGGATAGAGAGCAGAGACCATTCTGCCTGTCTTCTGTTCTGATGACATCAGTGAGTAATGCTTCAGCGAACTGCAAATGACATTAATTTTTACGTATTGGTTTGTTTATGCTACAGTCTTCATATCTGGTTGTCAGCACTTGTGACTGGTATGATGGTGGTTAGTCTTGCTCTCTCTCGCTCTCTTTTTAAGCTGAAGCTGTCAAAAAGGCTGAGAGGTTTATTTTGCAAGGTGCACACAAGACCTATGTTTAGCAGAGGTTCTCTGAAGATATTTATCTTTAGGATTCTATTGGATCTGAAAATATTTAGGTGTCCCTGTGACAGATGACTGCTTACTTCAGCATGTTATATGACTGTTTGCTGGGTAGGGGAGAGGGTCATTGCAGTGTGTGCAACAAGATAGATGTAATAATTTCTGAAAATGTGTTCATTTCTACAGATTGCTAGAGAAGCCACAGTGGCGGGACCTGCTTCCTTGCAAGCTGGGAATCTGGTTCTGTCTAACAGTAAAATCTTTGCCACAGCTGTTTCAGGTAAAACTGTGAAAGTGTGTGTGTGTGTTTCTCTCATTATGTCTCATCCTGTACTTCATCTGTAGGACTCATTTGTATTTGGTAACTATTTAAAGCCAATAGAATGCTTTATCAATCTAAAACTGTTGTTATGGTATTTCTCCTCTTTGCATTGATTTATAAACACTAAAGGTATTGAGAACTATGCTAAATAATGGAAAAAAGGGTGGGGAAATTTCATTTTTAAAATACTGTTTCAGGTCCAACAGCAGTGTGTTGAAAGACTTACTATTTCCATGGGGCCCTAAAGCATTAAAATGTATTAATGTAGTGCTCAAATATATAAATGTGAATAGTAATTCAAGTTCCAATAAGATGGGAAAATAAATTTAATCTCATTCCCTAAACAAGATAAATTTAACTTCAGGAGCCTCTCTGGCATTTTTGCTCCTTTGCCATATTACACATTTAATAAATTATTTGAATGGCTTCAAGGGAAAAATTTAAATATCCTGGCAGAATTGGGGAGATGTGCAGAAGTGATTTAGTGTGTTGCCATCAGTGTGCATGTTTGTAAGAGTTTTTGACCAGTATTATGGATTGCAAAAAACGGCCTGAAACTCAACATCAAAAAAACTAAGATTATGGCCACTGGTCCCATCACCTCCTTGGAAATTGAAGGGGAAAATATGGATGCAGTGACAGATTTTACTTTCTTGGGCTCCATGATCACTGCAGATGGAGACACCTGCTTCTTGGGAGGAAAGCGATGACAAACCTCGACAGCATCTTAAAAAGCAGAGACATCACCTTGCCAACAAAAGTCCGAATAGTCAAAGCTATGGTTTTTCCTGTCATGTATGGAAGTGAGAGCTGGACCATAAAGAAAGCAGACCGCCGAAGAATTGGTGCCTTTGAATTGTGGTGCTGGAGGAGGCTCTTGAGAGTCCCCTGGACTGCAAGGAGAACAAACCTATCAATTCTAAAGGAAATTAACCCTGAGTGCTCACTGGAAGGACAGATCCTGAAGCTGAGGCTCCAGTACTTTGGCCATCTCATGAGAAGACTCCTTGGAAAAGACCTTGATGTTAGGAAAGTGTGAAGGCAAGTGGAGAAGGGGACGACAGAGGATGAGATGGCTGGATAGTGTCATCGAAACAACCAAGATGAATTTGACACAACTCCGGGAAGCAGTGGAAGATAGGAGGGCCTGGCGTGCTCTGTTCCATGGGGTCATGAAGAGTCGGACATGACTAAATGACGACGAAATGATAGAGCCAGACATCCTGGAAAGTGAAGTGAAGTGGGCCTTAGAAAGCATGGCTAACAACAAGGCCGGTGGAGGTGATGGCATTCCAGTGAAACTATTTAAAATCTTAAAAGATGAGGCTGTTGCTACACTCAATATGCGAGCAAGTTTGGAAAACTCAGCAGTGGCCAGAGGACTGGAAAAGATGAGTCTACATCCTGATCCCAAAGAAGGGCAGCACCAAAGAATGTTTCAACTACTGTACAATTGCACTCATTTCA